AGAGAAGAAGGAAGAAATGCACCTGATGAGGAAGACATTGAGCCTGGGAACTCTGAAAACCCCTTCCAGCCTATATCTACTGTAATCTCTGAGGTATGAGAATATGGAAATCTGGATCATTTTAGATCTACCACTAACAAATGTCTGAGAGGTAATGAGAAAAATGATTCATTTAAAAGAATTGTTCTAAGTCTATATGCACAGCATTATTTTATTTATTTTTTTTTAGTCTTGGCAGTTTTGGTTTCTGTGCATTGAATCAATACTTTCATGTTAAGAAAATCCCCTATTATGGGGACCAAAAATTTTGTAGACACAGTAAAATAAAGGTATTGTAACCAGATGACTGAACACATTTCTTAATTAAACTTAAATATTCAAGCGTGAAGATGTTTAAGGTCTATTAGCTTCTTGTAAAATGTTTTAGTGATATAGTCAATCATATAAAATCTCCTTGACTACTTCAAATATTTAGATTTCTGAGCATTACCTTTTTTCTGAGACAATTGAGAAGTTTATTTAGCTTTGAAATATGAAAAGCATATTCATATATAAAGTATTCTTAATCTGTGTTTCTAGTTTTTATTTATTGTACCATATTTTTTAATTCAGTTGACTAGAGATAACATAATCTCAAGAAATATATAAATTCTCCGAGACTTTTCCAGTAAATAATTCAAACATTTGCTTCTCTCCAGGACAAAAGCGCCCATATCCATAGGTCTTGTAAAGTCAGCTGCACGCACAGTAATATACTTTAGGGTAGCATTCAGAGTAAGAAGAGAAGGATATAGGTGCAAGTATTGCAGAGACAGTGATTTAATCATATAGAACCTGTGAAACACCCTGTCATTGAGCCTCTGACACAACTGATATTTGTCTCAATCATGGTAGAACTGTTGAGTTACTTAAGCTCTGTTCATGTGTATTTTGTTTCAACTAAAAAGTTAAAAAAAAAAAAGATAATTGAAGGAGAATAAACTATGAGTTTTTCTAAGCTTTTGCTCAGGACTGTTGTTTATATAGCTAGCATTATTTTTTTTTGTTGCAGGACCATGAAGAAAGCAAGAAAACAAGCTTAGAAACCTAAAGATAATTTCTTTTTTTTCCTTTAATTATTTTTTTCCTTCCTCTGGATACAGTTTTGGAAAATTTATTTCTTCAGCTATTTGAAAATATTTTTTATGCTAGGTGTGGCACAGAAAAATATTTTAGGAATATTTTAATTGTTCAAATAACCTACCTGTCTTATTACTCAGTTTACAGTATTATAAGTTGTTAAAAGAAAATTCTTTTTGTTAGAATGAAAAGCAAATTGAAAAGGAAAAGAAGCGACAAAGATTGGAGAGTGAAAAGGCTACGATTGTACAGAAATCACAAACAGAGCAGGAACAAGTGGATGCCCAGCCCTTATCAAGCAGCAGCAGCCAAAACACAAGTGACAGTAGGCTAGAAATGTGCAATTCTGCAACTACACAGCTTTTGCAGCATGAGGAGAGCGAGCAGCAAACCTCAGAATGCCTTGACTCAGGTAAAACTGCTTCCTTTTAATATGTCATTTAATGCTATTTTTCACAGAGTTCTTCCCTTTGTCTGTATATTATTTTTCAGGATACCACTGGTCAGTTGAATCCATTGAAAGCAAAAATGCGCCATTAGGTTATTGTATCGGAAAATCTGCTTCAAAAAAGTGTGTGTTTGTTGGCGTGACTGATCCTATAGCTGAAACGAGGTTCATTTTTATTAGTATCTTATCTGTAATTTATTTTCCATTGATACCAAGTTAAGCAGAATTTCTTTATTAAAACATAAACTTTGCATAAATTTTATACTTACAGTTTATTTTCTGTAGCAAAATGTGCTATAAATTTTACACTTCACATAATACTGTATATAAGTTTGGACTGAAAATGGTGTTGTATCTCACCCTAACAATTGTATTAGAAGATGATCTAAGATAATTCTCTGAATATAACTGTGTAATATGTAATGCTTTATTTCTGTTTGACATAGATAACAGTAAGAAAAAAAATAAAAAACCAAAATTAAAAAGAGGCCACAGAGTAGAACCTGTTAATGCAGAGGTCACTGTTCCTAAAAATCCTACACCAGCACCGGCTCTTCTACCAGGTAGGTATACTAACAAGCAGTAACTGATGTCTCAATTGATATTGATCAATAATTGATTTGTAGTTATTAATGCTTTAAAATAATCATTTGTTAATGATGAAACTGGAATGGTCTTCATACAGCGATACACTACTAGACCTTACACTCTAGGAAATCTCTGATGTGATTTCCCACTTCATGGCCCGAACTTTTAGCAGTATTGATTTGATCTGTTCCATGAGGAAAGGTGTTATTTTCACCAAAAAAAGTTCAGACACTGGACTACTTACTGATGAAAAAGTGATTTAAAAACCCAGGTATTTTTAAGGGTAGATGAGTTTATTGTAAAAATCTGTCATCATTATTCACCACATATACAGTATATTACATACCATGGGCACTTCTGAATGTTTTGATTTCTCCCAAAGAGAACTGGCTTCCATACATTTCAACAGTCAAGTGCAGTTGTGTCATGTTTTGACTTTTTTTTTATTTTCCTTTAGTTGGCTGGGGAACTCCTAAACCTAACAGACTTCAAAAACTTGAGCCTCTTGGTGAAACACATCGTGCTGGTAATTGAAAATATTTTGGGGGTTGTGCTTTTTTAAAGCATTCTCCATTGTTCATTCACTTTCTTCATTTTTCTCTTCATCTTCTTTTAAATTTCTTAATGCTAATTTTCACTGACCAAAAGCTAACCCTTTTGCTTTGAAGAAAGCAACTTTTTGATTTTTCAAGTCTTGTTTCTTTTTTCTTATCAAAATGAAGTTCTCTCAGATCACCTCTTAAAATTTAAAGTGGGACAAAGTATCAGAAGCTATTAATGATCTGAAGCTATTTGCACAGCCACATGCACCTAAATATTATAATGTGCCATATAACAAGGAGTTACAGGACCAGTTACTTTGAGAATCCAGACACATATTGCAGTCAAAATGAAAGTTTCCGAGTCTATTTCCATAGTCCATATGTAGACAGTCCGTCATTATCTGATGCAGAGGGGACAGGGGCTGCGCTACCTGGGTACTGGAAGAAGCCTGAGGTACTCAGCAGAGAGGATACTGCAGGAAGACCAAAGCGGGACTGCAGAGATCCAGCAGGGCTTATTAATTTGGCATCCACAGGGGTTCTTGCACATGCCAGCTAGTTCTGCACTCAGCTGCCTGTTTGTTTCCACGTTGATCTTATGATCTGATGTGGAGGTGCCAGTCGCTTTGCAGTGCTGAACCCAAATGGGCCCCGTGTATTTCTGTAGTTTTGCGAACCATAGCTCCCATCCAGAGGAATTTGCTGCGGGTGAGCTGGCTGCTGGTGTTGCCTCTTGAGTTAGTCTAAAATTTATTCTACCCACTGCTACTCTTTCCACGTGGTTTTAAAAGCAGTCTTAAGATTTTTGTCATTGGTTTGGGCGTGTTTTCTTGTGAGGGGGAAAGCTGTAGACATGTGGGCATCTCTGAATTAAGTGCATTTACATTAGCAACACCAGGTGAGAGATTACAATCCGAGCTATGATGAAAACCCTGGCACAAATTTAATTGCAGGAGTAGGGAGACTTCCAACTGAAAGCTAGATAGTTGGTCTGCAAGGAGAGGTGTCAGTGATAACGCCTGGGACCTACTGCTTTAACTAGTCAGCCAGTGTCCCTGAAAGTTCACAGACTGATAGGAGAAAGTTTGATAACTGGAAATATCAAGGTGTGGTAGGCAGATTCTTGATTTCTCTCATCAGTGGTTACTTTCTGTTTTTTGAAAGACCATGGAAAATTGTTTTTCATATGCTCATATTACATTGTTTTTTCTTGATTTTAGATTTTTTTTTTAATTTTTCTTACATTTTTACTCACATCTTGAAAAACCAAGTGAATATAGAGCCATCTGAAGTAATATGAGAGGAAGATAACAAAACTAAAGTGATGAGAACACTTGTACAAATTGAACAAAGAGAATATTAATTGAGAAACTTATGGAGAAAGGAGCCTTGTGTGGCTGTAGTGATCCTTAAGTTTAACCCTGACTTGGATTCATTGTACTGCTGTTGTGTAGTTGAAGCTGTGAAGCAACAGGACGTGGAGCTTCTCTGCCAGAGAATCAAAAAATTCTAAAGAGGAATTAAGATCTCTAAAACACAGATAATTATTTTTCACAGGAGCGTGATTCATGTGCATAGAACGTAATTTGTGGTTTTTAATCATAAAACCATTTTGCTCTTTTTTTTAAAGGCATATAGAGAGAAGGCATCAAGAAAGAAAAGCGAGATGAAGAGGTAGGGAGGGGAAGAAAGGCAAGAAGTGGTGCTCGATTTTTATCTTTGCCAAAGGGAGGTGGTGTATTTTGTAGTAAATGTAGGTGGGACAAAGAGGAAAAAAAATGCTTAAGCTAAGGTCCCTACTCACAAATGTGTGAGTTAGTAACCTGAAATCTGTGTTAATTTAGTGCATTTGTAAAATAAGGATAATAATTAAAGTATTTTGGGATCTAATGTTGGAAAAGGTGTTGGTATGGAAATAATCTCTTCACCATCAGGTGTAACCAGACCAGAGGAAACTTGGAGTGCTCAAACCTTTGCAGCTGAATCCAAGGCATTGTCTTTGCTGAGATTTGGGGTTTTTTTTTTAGGAATTTTGACACACTCACAAGATTCGCACAGATACAGGAAATCCTGAGTAAACAAGAAAATACCTATTAGGAAAGCACTATTTCAAAATGAAAAAAAGCCCTTCAAACATATGGCCCCGTATTGTCAAACCATATTTGCAGACAGCTCCTGCTACTGAAACTCATTCAAGTTTTCTAAGACCACTGGAGCCTGCATTTGATCCATTTCTTTTAGAATGCTCCTTGAATTGCATCTTTGTGAAAACCAGCTTCTCTTTTGCTGTCCCTTCCACAGAGAAATAAATCAGGTTTGATTTGTTTTGTTGTTTTGTTTTTTTTCCTCCATCTTTGCCCTCAACTCACTGTGAAACTGATTTTGAAAGTTTTTCATGTATTCAACCTTTGTGGAGGAAAAAAAAAGTCCTGGTTTCTTTATTGATTTCATCATTAATTGATGTAAATGGCTTGAAGGCACAATTTGCAGTGGAAGCTTAAAGTATTTTTTTATTATTACTTCCTTTAGCTGGGACTTCAGGCCGTGTTTTTTTTTTTGTGTGCGGTTTTGCTTTTTCTTTTTGATTCTCTGAAGTTCAATTTTCTATAGCAGTACTGCATTCTGTTAAAAATCTGTTTTGACAAACTGTTATTGGCCAAGTGACTGAAAATTCTTTCTATATGGGGCAAATGAGCACCTACCTTCACAGAGACCTGGCTAAAAAACCTTAATTCTAGTAGGTTCTTTTGTCAGGACTTCAGGAAAAATTGTTAGTGTCCATATGAGCAATGAGAGAAAAAGTATTTCACAGTCTACTTTTAAAAGTTTAAGGAGCCTTATGCATAAGGGTTATTTTCAGGAGTACTCTCAAAGTCTGTGTCCAAGAGTGTATCAGTGAAACGTGTGATAGGGCCTCAATGTAAGTCGGTCCCATTAAGCTTCAAAACAAATAGGACATTTTTGTAGTGTTGATTTCTGATAGCCCATGGAAAAAACACAAGAACGGATGTTTCTCAGTTTTCCCATGCATTCTAGCACAGGTATTTGTCAGTTATGATAGCAGTTATTCCCTTTTGGTTTAAAATTTATTTTTCTGGAAATGTCACAGGTGCGTGGTAGACCTTGCTGCTGAAATGTGTAAAATTAGTGTAGTGTGAGGTTGAAACAACCTCTAGAGGTCTGTTTTTTGATGCTAGGTGTTCTCAGAGACATAAAGCTGTCTTAAAGATTTGATACACAAACTGAAAAATGTAAGCCGTGGTGAGCAGGCAATTTAATATATATATTGAGCCATTTTTATGTCATTCTTGGCAGAGAACATTACACCTCATCTTTAGGCAGGCTTAACAGGCAGTAGAGTCGATTATATAAATCTTTAATTATACACTTACTTTCACTCAGGACTGCATTTTTTCCAGTCATGCTAACATTTCTAGCACAACGCTAGATAATGGGTGTCAACTTATTGTCACTGGAGGATAGGTTTGCAAGAACGATAAACCTCTTTCATTACAGGAGGTAAAATTGTCTGCCAGTCCTAAAGTCATCTGCCAAACCTCAAGAAACTAATAAAAGCATCCATTGTACAGGTTTTCATTTACACCATCATCATTTGTTGCAGCTTTTGTTGCTTTTTGCATGCTGCTGTAACATTGAATTAGCTCTATTAAAATCAAAATATTTACAACAATAATATAAAAATGTTATTATCATACCAATTAAATGTAAGGATAACTAAAGCCTTGATCGCACATGTGTACATATATTCTTAGACTAATGTAATCCAACTTGCTTACTTTTATTAATTTTAACTCAGGAGTGCATTTTTGGCACAAGTTATTACATATCTAGAACAAGTGGAATATGTTTTTCTTGGAAAATTATGATTTATCAGAGCTGAATTTTGTGTTCACAGGCCATCAAAGCTTTGTTGAGGAGGAGGTTGTCCATAAAAAACAGAACTAAGATTTGAATGCTTCGAAAAGCTGCTTTTATTTTTTCTTTATTTCTGCCTCTTTCCTCTTACCATCTTTCATGATACTTTGCCTGTGAAATGCTTTGCCTGTACCAGTCTGCATGTTTTCTTTTCGTTTTGTATTGATTACAAATGTTTGGGAATACTTGTTATTCTCTTTTGGTGTACTTCATTGCTTTGTCTTGAACACCTTTATTACTTGAAACTCCTTTACGGACAAAGGAAATGTTGTGATTTTTTCTAAAAAATCTTGATGCACTTCTTTTAGAAAGTTAGTATGGCCTTCAAGATAGATGCCCTGCATAAATGCTCCCAAAATTTTGGATGCTGCATAAACAATACTTTCCGTTAAAACTTTATTGCAATGCAGTCTTATCTACAGCAACATTCAAATTTTGATATTTCCGTGGTTTCACTTGTTTTTTGTATACTTTGGATGTCTTATTTCCTCTTTTTACAGATCACCTTTGGGCTTGATCTTGCAAATGCTGATGCACATATAACAAAATGTAATTAAACCCTGCTTTGGCCAGTACGCCTCCAGACATTCATTAGCACCATGTCAAAAATCGCTTGTCAGAATTAGCTCTGAACTTGTAGGCTACCTAGCTTTCGTTGCAGAAGCAAGAATTTACCTTCCTTAAATGTAATTTAAGCGAGGAGGACAGTAAATGACCGATTTACGTATTTTTCTTCTCTGGCATTTCTTACACAGATTTCTATGGGAAGCCTCTGCCCCCACTGACTATACGCCAAAGACCCAACAGTGATACCCATGACATCATTGCTTAACTGGATCACAAATAGCATTTAAAAAAACATAATCGAAAATTTGTAAACCCAACATTCTTTGCCCTTGAAGGAAGAGTTGGATTTCTTGTTTATTTTTAAATAACACTCTAAGCTTGTTGCCGAATAACTCGATGAACAATTAAACATGGAGTACGTTCTGTCATCTTTAGCTGATCAGACTTTGTCACTTTTCACATCACCAGCTCTTCTACAGGATTTAGCATGAAATGAAGATAGATCCATGTATCCTTGGAGACTCATGTGAACATGGTGTTGAATATTTATTGGGTTTACTTGAGAATATATACAGCTGTAAACCTGAGGAAAGATACATCCAAGATCCCATAATACTGAATTGTACATTCTCACCAGGACATTTCTGCAGGTGCTGCACAGTGCTTGGTATTTTTGCAGCTAATAAATGATGCTAAAGCATTTTGTAAAATTCATGTATGATAGAGTGAATATAGGAACGTTATGCAACAAATATTGAGTATATTTTTCTAACTTTTTATAAAATTATTTGGAAGTTTGAGTGGACACGCATACCTACGACCAACAAAATGTTACCTAGAAAGCATTAAAAAGGTGATAGTCAAATGCATACAAATAGAGTATGTTTGACTTTTACATTTCTCTTACAGTAGCAATACCTCTTACTATGGATTACATTACTAGATGCATATTTCATATTTCTGGCAAATTAAAGGGGGGGAATGTAGAAAGGAATGTTTAGGATAAATATATTTTATACAAAATTAATGCTGTTTGAATTGTCTAAAAGTTTTCTTATGTGTTTTAATTGTTTTGTTAACTGAGTTCAGCATAGTAAATAAATTCAGTTAAAGAACTAGAACTGAATATTGTATTATCTGCTACAATGTACAAGAAGATTGCACAGTGAAAGTTTTGCACTAATTCAGTCATCAATTTTGATGGAAAACTGAATCAACCAGTATGCAGATAAGCTCCAGCAGTTTTTAATCTTGATAATCCTAAAATACAATCTTGAAAACTAAGGAAACCCCAGATTTTTAAGAACTTACATAGTATTGCTGTGTAATGTGTTAATTCTACATTTTAAAAAATCACATAGAACTGATACATAAACAAGGGTTACAATTGGATATATTTCAATTTAAATGGTTTTCCTCTTACCTTGGAAACAACCATTGGTATTTTGTGTAAAGGTATGTTGTTATGCCACTTAGACCAAGAATGAAACCCTCTTTCAAAGGTTTTTTTAAGAAACAGTGCTTGATGATTTTCTCTTATGTTCTCAGTCTTACATAACATGGTTTTACCAGATGATTTTAGTAGATGTTAAAAGAATCCAGTGTATGTATTCGGTACTTCGACAGTAGAAATCTTTGCCATATGCCCCTTATGGCAATGAGTTGCACAAATAAACATCTACAATATTGATCAAAATTATATTATTAATTAAGATTTTTAAAGAGTGGAGTGGACGAAAAAAGTCAGTCTTAAGAATATTAATTTGAATGGGTTTAGTGTAAGGATGAAATGATTTGTCAGCATGACAATACCTTTGTTGTATTCTAAGAGTAACATGGTTCAGTTTGGTTATTCTCAGGATTTAGTAATTTTTGCTTCAAACAAACACAATATTGAGTGGAGGGAGTTGCATAGAAGTTCATGTGCATACTCTCAATCTTACTATCTTTAGCTATGTTACCACCTCAGTTTTTTGGCTCAAAGGCTCTCCTTTTGCAGGCTTATTTTTTTTACAGCTTCAGTTTCTAGAAATGTATGATGCTTTTATTTTAACACTTATCTAAAATAAATCAATGGAAGTCTTTATTAAAAATAAAGCTAAATACTGCTGTGGTAACTGAATTTGAGAAACTGAAATGTAAGATGTTGATATTTAAATGTGAGATGTGTGTGTTATGCGTGTTGTGTGTGTGGACACGTTATCAGTTTTATTTCTGCTTTTACAATAAATTTTACCAATATGTGACCAAAGGACTCAAAAATGTTTCATATGGTTTCATTTATTAATATGCTCTGTAATGATTTACTGCAGTAGCTTATTCAGTAATTGATACTACCTTGGCTTTTTATTTTCTCAACATGACATTCATGTGTAGGATAAAACCAGTGCACAGCATTGAGATGTTTTCCACATTATCATAAATTTACAGTTTTTTGGAAGTACAGTCATAAATGTTTAAGGGTTGCATGTCTCATTTACATTGTTAAAGTGTACAAAATAGAGACCATATAGACAGTATCTTTTCATATTTTTACAATTGCAATGTGATGAAATTTAGAATATATTGACAGATTGTGTAAGTAGTGTATATTTGTGTATATAAATTGCTTTGACAGTGCACTTAATATTTGAGAGGTAATAAGTGGCACAGTTTTAAGCTGAGAGGTAATAATTTTTGCACAAATTAGAATATGTCATCGGGTTTTGATGCATTTCGTTGTTAACATCTCTATCAAAATGTATCTACATTCAGTTAAGAGTGTTTGTACTTAAATACGTGACTGAGAAGAACACAGAATGCCCTATGTAAGCAGAACATTTTGCGTTATCTATATGCAATATTTCAAATACATTTCAGATAAAGTATTTTAAAGGTAAGTTAAATGTATGTTGTAAGATAAGGAATAGTAATTTTCGTGAGCTATATTAATGTAAAAGGTAATCAGTGCTTCAAAATAAGTGGTTCTCATTGTTATCTTCCTTTTTAGCCAAAACCTAGAATCCACAGAAGTACCTTACTTGGAGATTTAAAGGTTTAAAGTAGAAAATAATAATTATAACTGGATTATTGAAAATAGTTATATTTGCCTTAGGCTTAGTTTCACGTCTGTGTCGCAGTTTCTCCATGTGGAGAGCACACAGTGAGGGATGCTCAAATTGGGGTGATGCAGAAGCACTGTGGTTTGAGACGGAAGCTCTTTGATAACCTCGCGAGATTACTATTTCAGTTCCACAGTTCCAACGGAGAATTGGAAAGCTTTAAGAGAATTACCTGCAGTAGGCAGCTGACCCCAGCTTTCGAACGGCCCTCTTGCGAGCCCTGCTTACAAGGGCCACAATGGAAGCAGCCAGGCACCACGGAGAGAGTCCTTGCGAGGCGAGTGTGCCCGCCCATCCTCGAGCCCATCGGTCACCCCGCTGGGTGTCAGTGGGGTGCCCCTCCGCCACAGGCTTTGAGCCCATCTTCTCTCATGCCTTCGGGGCTGTGAATTCTCTGTCAGCTTTATAAAGGCTGCAGTGATTATCCTTTCCTTGAAGTTCTTGGAACTGGAACTCTACCCTCTGGAGGGCCAATCTGTCACTTGACAAGGAATTTCTTGGTTTTGCTATTGATTCAAAGGATCAGCAATCTAGACTCAATAGCCAATGAGACTTTATGGCAGCACTGGGAGACACACGGGGATATTTCCACAGCCTGTGCTCACCTTGGCTCTGTCTTTGTTCTGGTTAAATGCATTCACAACACAGATATTTATTACATTTCCACAAAATAATTTTTATATCTCCTCCTATTCTAGGAAATATTTACATACTCATTTCACTCATTTCACTTTCCATTTTACCATCCTTATCACTGTCTACTGTTAGTTCTTATTTTGGCCTGTCTTGGTGGTTCAGGATGCCTCTGGCAGATGTTTACTTTGTCACTCCTCTTCATCATCTTTTCTTTTGGTGACTTTCTCCATTGCTTGGCAGATTCTAGGGTGAGAACTGGCGTCAGTTAGCTGCTGGCCATAACGTTCTGCCTTGAAGCTACTGTTGCCCTTCCAGTTACAAGTTATCTACTCACTTGCTTCATTCCCATTGCTGACCTCAGCTAGTTTTCTTACAGCAGGTATACTGAAGTTTGTCTTTGTTCTTTGTTTCACTATTTCAGATGATTTTTAGAATAAAGTTGCCAGGAATGGTCTCATGACAATTTTATTCTCCAGTAGAAACCAGTATATTTCCTGAGAACAGTTACTTTTAGATATAATGATGTCATATTAGAAAAGATTGATGGACAGTAACAAAGCAATCAGCATAGGCTTTTTTTATTTATTTATTCTTTAAAAAAGATTTAAGTGGTGTTTTTTCCACTAAGATGTTCTAGTGTTTTTGTTGCAAGCTTGGTACTCTAACTTCAGGATGCTAACCATTGACTTTGCCAAACTGTTAGCTTCCTAGCTTTTGGAATTCATTCAACTTAAAGTACTGTTTTGAACAGAATATACTCCACAGTATTTCAGTAGATGCATCTGTAAATGGAGTAAGGAAGTTTATTTTTAGAGTGTGATTTGAGACAAGTTTATCTTAGAAGAAACTTTTTCTTGTTTAGTTCGTTTTGTAAAGACTTATGGCAGGAGTGAGTTTGTAGGGGTTGGGATTTTTTTCTATTTTCTCGCCCCACTGTTCGCATAAGCTGTATTTTCTTCCTTAGGGTTGCTTTGGCTACTGTTCTATGGTAACAAAATCTGTGCTGCACAGAAGATTTTGGGAAAGTGGACCATGGAATGGTAAAGAATCTATGTGACCCACTGAATATGAATTTAGTCACCTCAAGTTCCTTTCCTTCCAGGACAGTGGAAAGATTGAGAGAGGGGAAAAGTTGAGTGACAATGAGTAACAAGAAATTAAGTCCTTTCATCAGGTGAAGTTTGTGGGTTAAAATTGAGAAGACCAACAAAGCCAAGTTGCCTAGTAAGGTAGCCGTGCTGCTGAAATAACAATTGACTCATACGCAACTAGGTAGTAGACTGAAAGACTAATGAAGAATGGGAGAGTCAGAATTTCGCAGTGTAAACTTATATGTAAAAAAATTTTCAGAGGATAGTAGATTTTGCAGGCCTCAAAATGATGCTTAGTCAGTCTTTCCACCATGTTTGCATTTGCTACTGCAAAAAGCAGTGTCCTAAAATTTATCATGCAGAAGGACAGAGTCCTAAGAGTTTCCCAAAGAGTACCACATGCTGGTAATATTAATTTATGTGATTTTCTATGCAAC